CGCGGTAGTAGTCAGTGACAGGAGTAGAGAGGGAAGCAGTGAGGGCTGACTCAGAGGGAGAAGGAAGCACAGACGGCGACGAACGAGGTGGACTAGGACGGACAGGAAAGTGCGAAGGTCAGTGAGAGGGACAGGGGACGAGGGACGAGCATGAGGAGAATGAGAAGTCCAAGCGTGAAAATAAGGAGGGGACGACGGAGGCTGAGAATGGGGGAAAACAGCTGGGGCGGAGTCAGGAGGAGGAAACGTGGGACCGTAGACAGGGGGAGAGGGGGAGGGGGGAGGAGAAGGAGAGGGGAGACCGAGGGTCTGAAGACCACAGACAGGAGGCGGAGGTGGTAGCTTTTGCTGCTGCGTCTGCTGCTGCTGCTGCCGCTCCTCCAGCTGCTGTAGCTCCAGCTGCTGCCGCTCCAACTCTCTCTCCTCTCGCTCCAACTCCAGCTGCTCCTCACGTGCACGGCAAACATGGGCCTGTTGCCGGGTCAGTTAGGGGTGGGGGGGAGGAGTAGTGTCTGGTGAGGTGGTAGCCCTAGGACCGCTCTCCAAAGCACCAAACGCACCACCCCCAGAGCCAGCACCACCAGTAGCAACGCGGCCAGTCTCAGACTCTCCAGGTCCCGTAGTGGGCGCACCCGCACCCCCAGTCGTAGCACCCCCAGGGACAGCGCGACTAACACCAGCTCCCGGAAGACTAGAACCTCCTGTAGACTCGGGCTCAGCTCCAACTCCAGCACCCCCGGCACCAGATTCTCGTGGAGGCACACTCTCAGCTCCAAATCCAACCCCCCCAGAGTTAGCACCTCCAGGGTCCGCGCTAGGGACACCACCATCCTCAAGGTTTGCAGTAGCATGTGGAGGAAGTGCTTACGGCTGCTGCAGTGACTGTGAGGAGGACTGTAGAGAAGGGGACGAGACCTGAGGGGCTACCGAGGAGGGGGGGGTAGCGTGTGAAACACCTGACGTGGCTGGACCAGGGGGGGAGGCTGTACTTGAGGAGCCGGAAAGGGAGTGGGAGTCAGGAAGAGAGGGGGAGGAGGAACCAAGAGACCTTGACAGGGTTACTGAGTGTAGTAGGGGACTGACTCGTCAAAATGGACGTCACGGGAGTCAAAGAACCGGTGAAGGGGAGGGTGGTAAAAGCTGAAGCCAGAGGAGTCCTCGGGGAAACCAAGGAAGACACAGGGAACGACGCGAGGCAAGATCTTGTCCGCGGAGGTGTCGCAAACAAGTGCCAAGCAGCCCTAGACACGAAAACGCGATGCAACACCAGGGGACCCAGTCCAAAGAGTGGTCGGTGAAGCCCCTGGCCGGGAGACACGTGGCCAGAGGTTCAGGTGAGCGGCGTACCGAACTGCGTAGGGCCACAGAAACTGGGGCGCACGGGCGTGAATCATGGAGGTACGTGCTATATCCATGACCAAGCCTATGCAGCGCTCAGCAACTCCGTTCTGCTGTGGGGACTCCGGAAGCGTCTAGGACTGATGGATGCCCTGCTCGTGACAAAATCCGGCGAGAACGCCGTAGCAAAACTCACCCCCACGGTCAGACTGAAGACAACTGACACGACGACCACAAGTGTCCGCAGTGGTAAGCAACCACCGGACCAGCGTAGAAGTCACCTCGGACTTCTTTGCCAGTGGGAACACTGTGGTGTAACGAGAGTAGTCGTCAATGACCACCAGAAAGAAACTCCTTTGCTCAGTGCCAGGGCACGAGGCGGGGTCCCAGACGTCCAAGTGGAGAGTCTCGAAGGGCTCGGTGGCCGGAGAAAGGGAGGAGGAGTGAGGGGTGGCACGAAGCCGATCCTCGACGCAAGGTGGTGCAAGCGAAGGCGGCATCGACGGCAAGACTCGCGGGAGGCCTAAGACGAGACGCTGACTAGCCATAGTGTGTAGGTGAGGAATGGACGGTTGACCAAGGCGGTGGTAGTACAGAACGGTGGGGTGGGCAAGCGACCGACACAAGCAAGACACAACAATCGGACCAGACGCTGGAACCCTACCAAACGCAGCTACCTGGTGGGAGGTGGCAACCTGGTGAGACGCGGGAGTCGGAGGCAGCTTCTGCTGCTGTTGCCTCTCTCGGGGGCCAATGTGAAGCGTGTAGAGACCAAAGCATGGCTCAGCGTGAAAGGTGGCCAGGGGCGCGTACGTGTCACCGTCTACACAGGTCGCAGTGTCCCCAGAATGCTCAATCCAAACACCCACGTAACTGTCCACGAGTGGCCTCACACCCACCAAGTTCGTGGAGAACGAGGGGACGTGAAAGCCGGTTAGGAAACCCGAGGGAGCAGCAGGACTTGGAAGCGTAGTAGTGTAGCAAGCAGTGACTGGTCCCAAAGTGGGATCAGCCAGTGCTACAGAGACCGGCGCAGGAAGCGGAGTAAGAGTCGTGTGGTCACGGAAGAAACAGTGTGAAGCTCTAGAGTCCAGAGTGAAAGACAGCGAAGTGTCCTCCGGAGCAACTTCAGGGCTGGTGTTCACACAAGTACCTACACTAGCAACAGGCACCTCAGCAACACTAGCACCTAAGCTAAAAACACTCGAGTAAACAGAGTCAGAAGCACTAGAGTCAACAACAGCATACATAGCATGAGGAGTTCCTAAGAGATCATGCGATTGAGAAGCAGACATGCCCCACAGGGCAGCACCGTGCGAGTGAAGAAAAGGAAGCTAGTAAGGGGCAGGGCCGTCGACGCCGTAGGCCGCGCGAAGAGTGTCAGTAAGCTGAGCAAAGCACTGACCCGGGGTGTGGCTGCGGCCACAGGGGAGGCCTCGGCGAGTACCTGTCTGGACGATATAGGTGCAGGGAGGCTGGACGACACCGCGTGTCAGCTGATGCGGTCCCGACCCCTGCCTCGGAACCTGCTGCTGCCGCTGCTGCTGCGGTGGCTGCAGCTGTTGCTGCTACTGTTGTCTCTGTGTCAGGTACCAAGCCGCCACTCCAGCACCTGTAGTCGGCAGTCCAGCAGGCGTCTGACGTCCCCGAGCGTCACCTCCACCAGCTGCAGCAAGGGAGTCACTAGGCGCTGCACGAGGCGCTCCTCCTACTCCTGCACTCCCGCCACCGCCACTCATCACGCCACCTCCGCCACCTCCGCCGCCTCCGCCCGCACCTTGACTGCTCCTCCTGCCACTCCTACCCCTAGACCGCGAAGAAGTCGTAACAGCAGCTGTGGTCCCGTCAGTAGCGGCAGTGGCGAGGGAGGCAGTAAAGGTGGGCAGCTGAGGGACAGTGCACCCATGAAACAGTGGAGGGGGCACAGCGCCAGAGGCAGAGGCTACCGAGCGGAGGTTGCTCTCGATGTCCTTGAGGGCAGACTCAAGAACCTCGATAGTGAGCTCGCTAGGGTGCTTCAGAAGAAGCCTGTCACCAACCAAGGCAAGGCGGTCAGGGAGGCTAGTGGCGATGAAATAGATAGTAATCGCCATGGGGGGAGGGAGCAGTGCAAGCTGTGCGTCAGTGCAGGCAGCGCGGTAGCTAGAATCGAGCAAGCGCAGGTGAGCGATCAAGTCTGCAGAGTGCTCAAACGAGGCGAGGTCAGGAAACGGGAACAGGAGGAAAAGTCGACCAAGAGAGACAGTGGTGGGAGTAGCGTACCAGGCCTTGATCGTAGTCAGGAACTAGCTAGCAGTGCAAACCTGAGTGAAGTGGGCCTCCTCAGACTCAGGGAGGAGGCTGCTAAAGGTGATGTAGGCCGCATCGTCACACGAATTCCACACTGTCAGGTCAGCACGCTGGCGTGCATAACGGTCTCTGTCTGCAGTTCTGGCATCAGCGCCTAAGGGTGCAGGGTCGGAGGGCGCAGGAAGGTCACCGGAAGCGTGCGCCCACAGAGACTCGTCTGCCTGAACCTGAATCTCTAGGAGGCGGCGCACACGGAGGAGCCGGACCGAGAAATCGAGTGGCCTACCCTCGGCGTCAAAGCGCAGGACCCTAGGGGTCGCCATAGCGGAAGCAAAGAGGTGGGAACTGCTGCTGCCGAAACCCTAAATGCCTAAACGGCCTGCGTAGGGCGTGACAGGCAGTGCGTGAGGCTCAGGGGAATGTAGGACATTAGGGTAGGGCGCGACATGGCAAGATGGTCAGTGTGGTGCATCGGGACAGGACGGGTGCAGTGCGGCGCGGCAGGATGGGACGAGCGCTGCGCGGCGCTGCGAGGGACGGGACAAGGTGCGTGCGGGAAGGGACGGGTCGGGACGCGGCGCGACTCGGCGCTGCGCGGGATGAGACAGGACGCGCGCGGGACGGGACAGGACTAGACGTGCGCGGGACGGGACGGGACGGAACAGAACGCGCACAGGACGGGACGGGACGGGACTCGCGTGGCTTGGCGCTGCGCGGCAGGCATGACGGGACGGGCGCGTCGCGGCGGACAGGCGCAACGCGACGGATGGGACAAGCAGGGGGGGGGTGGGGGGGGGGGGGGGGGAGGGGGACGCCACGCAATGGGGAAAGCAGGAGCGACGCGAGCAGCAGGCGCAACGGGTGCTAGGGAACGGTACGAGCGTGACTAACACTAGGGTACGGGACAGTCTTGGGCGTTACGGACGTGAGCGGGAGGAACGGGATCTCACAGGATCCGAACCTAGGTGATACCATGTCAAGAACTGAATGATGGTTTGACTAAGGTTGGTTGGGGTACATAAGCCTAACCCTAACTGCTGTACCCCATGTATCACACATCACTAATGGCTACAACATTTGACATGGCATATCAAATCATTTTTCTTCGGAGCCTATGGGCCTTTATACGGAAGTTACCATACAATAGTTGTACACTATGCTGGGTGCCTTCTGAGCACCTTACGCCACATGCACGATACATACGGTATTTATTTCTATGAAATACAACGAACATCCTCAGAACAAACTTGTTTTCACAAACAGGTGGTAGTCAAGCTACACTGATGACAAGCATAACCGGCCCTGTGTCACAGCATAGCAGCAGGGGGCAATGGTGCTGAAATATGTTGGGGCGCCACATAACAGAAGTTGATTTATGGCACAGCAGCAGTGGGAAGAGGTGCGGAGAGAGGGACAGGTGCACCGGCCATGCCACGGCTAGCAGCAGCAGCACTCAGCATGGCAGACTGTTGTTGGAACACAGGTGGCATGACTGCTTTGTCCCGATTGCTGATGGTTGGCACATAAGAATGATGGGAATAAGATAAGGAAGGAAGTTAGATAGGCGAACCGCCCAGCAGCAACACCCACAGCAGCAACAGCCATAGCGTCGCTCAGCATGGCAGACTGCTGCTGCAGCATGGGTGGCATGACTGCCTTGCCTCGGTTGCTGATGGCCGAGGCAGGGGCGCACGCACGGTGATGGGCATGGACCACTCTCCTCTCTCCGTCTCCGCACCCATGGCCAGCGCATGCGGCCTCTCATGCATCTGCCGCCGCTGCTGCCTGCCTTTGTCCACGCTGCCTGGGGTGCTGCCGGGTGGTGTTGCGCGCCTGGTGGACGCACAGAAGTCAAACCGCAAGATCCAATGGCGAGGGGGGGAGGGGAGAGGAGAGGGGAGGGAAGTGAGGGGAGGGAGCATGTATCTGCTGCCCTTGCTCGCAAATGCAGGTGCACAGGGCGCCTGGTGGACGCACAGAACTCAAACCGCAGGATCCATTGGTGGGGGTGGGGAGGGAGGAGAGGGGGAGGGAGGGAAGGGGGAATGCTGAATAGCATGGATCTGCTGCTTGGTGGTGCTGTGGGCGTTGCTGCTTGGTGGTGCTGCGCGCCTGGTGGACGCACAGAACAAAAACCTCGGAATCCAGTGTCACTTCGTGGAGCAGTGGATCCTGCGGTTTGAGTTCTCAGGATGCACTGGCAAGGGGAGTAGTGGGGAGGGGAGGACGGCCGGATGGGAGGCGAGGGGATGCGCTGCCTTCTCTTGTCGCTGCCACTGCCTGCTTGCTGCTGCCACCGCCTGCATTTAACGCAAGCTTTGCTACTTGCTGCTGTGCTCCTAGCAATCGCTGCAGAAAGAAATTCAGAGTGTACCTGCAATGAAAAATTCAGGGTTTACCTGCAATTGGAAATACATGGTTTACCTGCAATAAGAAATTCAGGGTTTACCTGCAATTAGAAATCCAGGGTTTACCTGCAATAAGAAATTCAGGGTTTACCTGCTAATAGAAATCCAGGGTTTACCTGCAATTAGAAAACATGGTTTACCTGCAATTAGAAATTCAGAGTTTACCTGCAATTAGAAATTCAGAGTTTACCTACAATTAGAAATTCAGAGTTTACATGCAATCAGATGATGCACCTCACCTACCTGCAGGGAGATGATCGGCGTGGCGAAGAAGGCGGCAGCGTCTGAGGGAATGGTGAAGATGAAGTGCGTGTGGAGCAAATCCACTGTCACCTCATGATGCTCCATCTGCAGCACTGGTAGGTGCAGGGGCGTCTGATGGGGGGGGGGGGGGGAATGGAAGGACGAAGCATTAGAGGTGAGGGAAGGTTGAAATAGAAGTGTGTGTGGAGGAGATCCGTTGTCACCTCGTGGTGCTCCATCTGCAGCACTGGCAGATGCAGGGGAGTCTGGGGGTGGAAGGTGGGGATGGGGGGAGAGGGGGGGAACGTGGCAATGAAGGAAAGGTGAGAGGCACATAAGTGTGGAGCAGATCCACTGTCACCTCGTGTCGTGGTGCTCCATTTGCAGCACCGGCAGATGTAGGGGGGTCTGGGCGTGGGGAGAGGGGAGGGAGGGAATGGGAGCGGGAGAGGCGGAGACGGGGTGTGGCGGGGAGGAGGGATGGTAAAGATGAAGTGTGTGTGGAGCAGGTCAACGGTCAACGGCCAACAGTCAACGGTCAACAGTCAACGGTCAACAGTCAACAGTCAACGGTCAACAGTCAACAGTCACCTCGTGTGCTCCATCTGCAGCACCGGCAGGTGCAAGGGGGTCTGAGGACGGGGAGGGGAAGAGGGGCCAGGGAAGGGGGAAAGGAAGGGCGGGAAGAAACGGATGTGGTGGAGAAGACGAGCCAAGAGGGTGGGGTGGAGAAGACGAGGCAAGAGGGTGGGGGAATGGAGGCATTAGGGAGAGAGGATGAAGACATGTGTGCAGTGCCAATGAGATGAGGGGCGAGTCTCCATGGGAAGATGAGAGGCGCATGCTTGAAGGCGGAGACAGGTGCCAAGGGCTGTGGCTTGCATGAGGTTATGTGTTTGCATGAGGTTATGTGTTTGCATGAGGTTATGTGTTTGCATGTGGTTATGTGTTTGCATGTGTATGGAATGGATGATGGCACATGTGGGTGCATGCATGTGCGCATGCACGCGTGGATACATGCATGTCTGCTTGCATGCGTGGGTGCACACAGTGTGTGATGTATTCATGCTCGGCAGAGCACGAAGCACTTTATCAGCAGATTATGGCTCCATTCAATTCAAGGCAGTACCATGCTCATGCCTGGATGCCTAATAAGTCGACTCATAAGTCATCTCGTTCAAGGCAGTACCATGCTCATGCCTTCAAGGCAGTACCATGCTCATGCCTTCATGCACACACGCGCAGGGCAGGTGCACACGCGTGTGATGTACACAAGCACGGTAGGGTGCAGCACGGATCACCTCGGCAGCAGAGGCACGGATCACCTTGGCAGCAGAGGCACGGATCACCTTGGCAGCAGAGGCACGGATCACCTTGGCAGTAGAGGCACGGATCACCTTGGCAGCAAAGGCACGGATCACCTTGGCAGCAGAGGCACGGATCACCTTGGCAGCAGAGGCACGGATCACCTTAGGAGCAGAGGCACATATCACCTTGGCAACAGAGGCACGGATCACCTTGGCAGCAGAGGCACGGTCACCTTGGCAACAGAGGCACGGATCACCTTGGCAGCAGAGGCACGGATCACCTTGGCAGCAGAGGCACGGATCACCTTGGCAGCAGAGGCACGGATCACCTTGGCAGCAGAGGCACGGATCTCCTTAGAAGCAGAGGCAAGGATCACCTTGGCAGCAGAGGCAGCGGCAGCCACTCTCCCGGATATGTGGAGTGCACGGGGGTTGATGACTTTATGCATCTCCAACAGCACTGATATTTGGTGGGGGCGGGGAGGCTGGAGAGAAGGAGAGGTGGGAGAGAAGCATGGTGGGAAAATCAGGAAACACAGTTGTCTGAGTAAGGGGATTGATGTCCTCGTGCATCTCTAGCAGAATCTGTTTTTTGAGAATTCTAAAAAAACATATTCAGCAAACAATCGGCAAACATAGTTGTTGTCAAACTTATACATAGCTTACATTGCGTAGGCTGTAGTGGGGTAGCCCATAAGGGGTACAACCCAATTAGGGTTAGTACTTGTACCCAACTCTTTGCTAGTTCATTCATTCTCGTTCACTCTTTCTGACATGGTTTCATAGCAGGTCCCTTCCTAGGACCGTTTTTTTTTTGGCCCACCACCTACTGCCCTGCTAGCCACTCTCGACCCTAAGCCCCGGCTCGTAGCCTCACGCCCGTCGCCCCTAGGCCCCGGCCTGTCGCCACAGCTAGCCCGGCCCGTCGCCCCTAGCGTAGGCCCGTCGCCCCTTGGCGTCGCCCGTCGCCCCTAGCCTCGGCCCCTAGCGACCCATCGCCCCTAGCATAGGTCCAGGCCCCGCGGCCCGTCGACCCGTCGCCCCTAGCCTCGCGACCCCCGTCGCCCTGTCGCCCGTCGCCCCGTCGCCCCAAGCCTCGGCCCCTCGGCCCCTAGCGACCCGTCGCCCCTAGCGTAGGCCCAGGCCCCGTGGCCCGTCGACCCGTCGCCCTAGCCTCGCGACCCTCGTCGCCCGTCGCCCTTCGCGACTCCCGTCGCCCGTCGCGCCCTGTCGCCCGTTGCGACCCGTCGCCCCAAGCCTAGGCCCAGGCCCCGCGACCCGTCGCCCCGTCGCCTCTAGCCTAGGCCCAGGCCCCGCGGCCTCCCGTCGCCCCTAGCCTAGGCCTCACGGCCCGACCCTCCCTCGGCCCCTCTGCCCCCTCGTACTAGGCCCGTAGGCCCGTAGGCCCCTCGGCCCCTTCGTACTAGGCCCCTAGGCCCCTCGGCCCCTCGGCCCCTTCGTCCTCGGCCCCTAGGCTACTTGGCCCCTCAGCCCCTTCGACCTCGGCCCCTCGGCCCCTCGGCCCCTTGGCCCCTAGGCCCCTTGGCCCCTCGGCCCCTTGGCCCCTCGGCCCCTCGGCCCCTCGGCCCCTTGGCCCCTTGGCCCCTCGGCCCCTAAGCTACTCGGCCCCTCGGCCCCTTCGACCTCGTCCCCTCGGCCCCTTCGACCTCGGCCCCTCGCCCCCTCGGCCCATAGTCCCCAGGCCCCTTGGCCCCTCGGCCCCTAGGCCCCTACGTGTTTGGCCCCTCGGCCCCAAGGCCCCTCGCCCCCCCCCCTTCTTATTTGGCCCCTCGGTCACCCTTCGTACTCAGCCCCTTCGACCTCGGCCCCTCGGCCCCTAGGCCCCAGGCCCCTCAGCCCCTAGACCCCAGGCCCCCCCTCGGCCCCTTGGCCTCTCTGCCCCTACTGCTGCTGCTACTGCTACTGTTGCTACTGCTACTGCTGCTGCCACTGCTGCTGCTGCTGCTACTGCTGCTACTCCTTCTCCTGCATGCTGCGCCACTATGGCTTCGCTTCGAGTTCTCGCGTTCAATCATGAGGGTAGACCGGTTCAGTTTGACACGTGGCTCGATGACCTGCAACTGTACCTACTGAGCGATTCTAAGGACAGTGTATCGCTATTTGACCTCGCGTCAGGTGCCGCTACTGCCCCTCCCGCCACAACTGACATTGCGACTCACTCCCAGTGGCTTACACGCGACGTTGCTGCACGCTTAGCCATTCACAACCACCTGCCGTTAGCCGAATGTGCTCACTTTGGACAGCACAGGACAGCACAGGCCCTGTATGACGCTGTAGTCACTCGCTACTCCTCGCCTGCCACTGCTGCGCTAGGCCGACTGCTACTGCCCTACCTGTTCCCCGAGCTGTCAGCCTTTGCCACAGTAGAGGACCTGGTTTCCTACCTACGCACTAGCGACGCTCGCTACCGCGCTACCGTCCCTGCTGAGTTCCTTGACAGGAGCCAGCCCTCGATGTTCATCACCCTCTACTTCATAGTCACTCGCCTCCCTGACTCTCTTCGCTCTGTCAGGGACCACTTTCTCTCCCTTGACCCCACCTCCCTCACTGTTGACCTCCTCGAGCAGCATCTCCTCGTAGTTGAGACTAGTGCAGTTGCTGTAGGTGCTGCTCGTGGCACTCCGCGCCCGCCCTTCTTTGAGGGGTGCTCCCCCTCCCCCCTTGCCCCCTCCTACGCCTCTGCTGCTGCTGCAGACGTCTCTGTTGCTGAAGACGTCGGGGCTGCTTCTACTAGTGCAAAGCGCCGGTGCAAGGGCAAGGGTGGCAGGGGTGGTGGAGGTGGCAGCGGTGGTGGTGGAGGTGGCAGCGGGAGTGGTGGTGGGGGCAGCAGTGGAGGTGGTGGAGGCAGTGGAGGTGGTGGCGGCAGTGGGATTGGTGGCGTGAGTGGGGGCTCTAGTGGCTGCAGTGGAGGCAGCGGTGGGCGTGGTGGCAGTGGAGGAGGTGGGACTGGTGACGGTAGGACTGGACCTCGGCGTGGAGGCCTTGGTGGTGGCCAGCGGCAGCAACAGCAGCGTCCGAGCGAGACCCAGTCGCCCCAGCAGCTCCGTGAGTGGTTGTTTCAGCGCGGGACGTCTGGGGGTAGTGATAGCTGCCCGTATGTCATTCGCACGGGTGTCCATGCTGGTCAGACATGCGGGAAGCTTCACACTCAGCATTGCTGCTTCTCCCGCCTCGACGACGCCTGGCGCGCAGAGTTTGGTGACGAGGCCGAACGCCCCCGCTGGGCAGAGCTGCTTAGGTCTGGAGTTGCTATCTTTGACCTAGACTATGATGTTATACTTTCTGCTATGAATGCTTTGTCTGCTAGTGGTGAGGGTGACTGTTACCGGTGTGTGCCACCTGACCCAGGTATAGCGGCTGCTGCTCTAGGTGCTAGTGAGTCAGGTTCTCTCCCTGGTACTGCGCCTGCTGAGGCCTTGCACAGAATCACGTTGGACTCAGGCGCCTCGCGCTGTTTCTTTCGTGACAGCACCACCCTCACTCCTCTCCCTGCACCTGTCCCGGTCAGACTGGCTGACCCCTCCGGGGGCTCGGTCGTGGCCCGTTCCTCCACTGTCCTCCCATGTCCGGTGGTTCCCTCCGGCTCACTGTCAGGTCTTTACCCCCCCTCGTTCTCTACGAACTTGGTGAGTACCACTGCCCTCCATGATGCGTTGGTCACTACCACCACTCCAAGGGGTCAGCGTGTGTCGATCTGCACGTGCACACGGACGGGGCGTCACCTGGCCACGTTCACTTGTCGGCCAGGGACGAGTCTGTACACACTCGCTATCGAGCCTCCTCAGGTAGCTGCGTCTACTCAGGTGTCAGCGTCAGGTCAGGTAGCCGCCTCTTGCTCGTGTCGCCTCCTGTCGCACCAGACTCTTCTGTGGCACCACCGTCTTGGTCACCCCTCTCTGCCTCGCCTTCGTGGCATGCACTCTTGTCTCCTTGTCTTTAGTCTTCCCAGGTCTCTGCCTCCCCTGCCGCCCTTGCCTGCCCCGCCTTGCCTCCCGTGCGTCGAGGGGCGGCACCGCGCCGCTCCTCACTCCTCCTCGTTTCCCCCGACGACTGCTCCCCGGCAGACTCTCCACATGGACGTGTGGGGCCCAGCCCGCGTCTGTGGACAGGGCCGCGAGCGCTACTTTTTGCTGGTTGTTGACGACTACACGCGGTACACCACGGTCTTCCCCTTGCGCTGCAAGGGTCAGGTCGTTGATGTCTTGATCCCTTGGATCCGCACAGTCCGTCTCCAGCTCCGTGAGCGGTTCAGTATGGAACTTCCGGTCCTACGTCTGCACTCTGTCAGAGGTGGTGAGTTCTCCTCCAACCTCTTGAGGGACTTTTGTCGTGAGGAGGGCATTCTCCAGTCGTTCACGCTTCCGGACTCCCCTCAGCAAAATGGGATTGCTGAGCGCCACATTGGCTTAGTCATGGAGGTCGCTTGTACCTCCATGATCCATGCGGTTGCTTCCCATTTTCTGTGGCCGTTTGCGGTCCAGTACGCTGCGCATCAGCTCAACCTCTGGCCTCGTGTCTCCTTGCCGGAGTCTCGCCCATACTGCATTGGACGGGGAAGGTTGGCGATGCGTCGGTGTTCCGAGTCTGGGGTTCTCGTTCCTTTGTTCGCGATACGTCTGCAGACAAGCTCTCGGCCCGCGCCATTCCCTGCATCTTCCTTGGCTTTGTCCCTGACGCGCCTGGCCTGCAGTTTTACCACCCTACCTCGCGCCATGTCCTCCCATCTCAGGACGTCACGTTTGACGAGTCGGTTCCCTTTTACCGTCTCTTCCCCTACCGCTCTGCCCCTCCCCCACCCCCGCCGCTCTTCCTTGCTCCAGGTCCCCCTCCGGTAGACCCCCTCCCTCCTCAGGGTCCTGCTCCGTCAGGTTCCTCTCAGGTAAACCCACCCCCTGGTGCTGTGCCTGATGAGGTAGCTGTAGACTCAGGCGTTGCTCGAGGTACTGCGTCTGGGGGTGCAGAGACTGGGGGTGCTGAGCCTGGGGGTGCTGAGACTGTGGGTGCTGAGCCTGGGGGTGCTGAGACTAGGGGTGCTGAGCCTGAGGGTGTTGAGCCTGAGGGTGCTGAGTCAGAGGGTGCAAAGTCTGGGGGTGCTGAGCCTCGGGGTGCTGCTTTGTCTGGTCCTCCTGCTGGTGCTTCGCCGCGACTGTCTCCGCAGCAGCTGCTTGAGTGGCTTGTTCGGCGCGCACACCTTCGGAGTGGAGCTACTAGAGCTCAAGGTGTTGGAGTTACTGCTGGAGCTGGTGGTTCTGGAGGTACTGCGGTAGCTGGTCCTGGAGGTGCTCGTACCAGGGGTACTGGAGTTGCCGGGACTAGAGGTGTTGGGGGCACTGGTACTGGAGACCCTACGGAGCCTGGAGCTGCTGGAACTGGAGGCTCTTGCGCTGGTGGGGCTGGCGCTGGAGGCGCTGGAGCTGGAGGAGCACGA